AAAAAAAAAAAAAAAAAAGTCTACTGTTGGATAAAAGAGGATTTGCGTCCATAAGTGCTAAGATAGTGTGAAGAGAACTCTTAGCATAATCAAATTTGTACTGAATTTTAATATCTTTGGTCTTATATCTGGTTAAACTCAGAATAGATTCTCTGTTTGGATTTCTTGTAAAATTGAGGTTAACATAGGAATGTCTGTATTTAGTATACTTTACAAATCACTTAGTGTGAAGTTAAAGTCTTTTCAATCCATCTTTTTTATTTTTGCCATCTTTCATTGAGGTCATATCTGCTCAGTATTCCCTGTTGTTGAGTGCCATTGAGTTGATTCTGACTGATTGAAACCCCATATGAAGGAGTAGAACTGCCCCCATAGGGTTTCCTAGGCTGTAATCGTTATGTGTCACCACTCATCTGTCAGTTTGTGGTACTGTAGTGGCTTACATGTTGCTGTGATGCTGGAAGGTATGCCACTGCTTGTATTTCAAATACCAGTAGGGTCACCCATGGTATACATGTTTTAAATGAGTTTCCAGACTACAACAGACTGGGAAGAAGGATGGGGCAGTTCGCTTCTGAAAAAATTGGCTGCTGAAAACCTTATGAATAGCAGTGAAACATTGATATATTACTGGAAAGTGTTATGAATAGCAGTGAAACATTGTCTGATATAGTGCCAGAAGATGAGCCCCTCAGGTTGGAAGGCACTCAGAATACAACTGGAGAAGAGCTGCCTCTTCAAAGTACAGTGAACCGTAATGACGTGGATAGAGTTCATCTTTCTGGACCTTCATTTACTGGTACGGCTTGACTTAAAATGAGAAGAAACAGCTGTAAACATCCATTAATAATCAGAATGTAGAATGTACAAAGTGTGAATGTAGGAAAATTATAAGTTGTCAGAAGTGAAATGGAACACATAAAGATTGATATCCTAGGCATTAGTAAGCTGAAATGGAGTGGCATTGGCCATTTTGAATCAGACCGTCATATAGTCTGCTGTGGCAGAAATGACAAATTGAAGAGGAATGGCATTGCATTCATTGTCAAAAAAAACATTTCAAAATGAAACTCAGCACTGTTGAGTCAATTCCAACTAACAACGACCCTATAGGACAGAATAGGAGCTCTGGTAGCATAGTGCCTAAGGCACTGGACTACTAACCAGCAGGCTGGCAGTTCAAACCCACCTGCCACTCCTTGGAAGGAAGGTTGGGCAATTTACTTCCATAGTGATACCGCCTCAGAAACCCAAGGAGGGGTAGGTATGAGTCGGGTCCGACTCGATGGCACATAACAGCAACAACAACAACAAAACATAGGGCAGAATAGAACTGTCTTACAGGATTTCAGGATTGGAAGAAAAATCATTAACAACCTGAGATATGCAGACGATACAACTTTGCTTGCTGAAAGTGAGGATGACTTAAGGCACCTACTGATGAAG